AACGTACCATACTAACAGCCCAGGTACTAGCTAAAAAGGCCCAGAGACGTGTTTTTCACTATCTGGCCGCCGTTTGACACAGCTGCGAGGGCTCCGGCACATCAGTGGGTCCCCTCCCATTCCCTGTTTGCTTTCTGGCTGATATACTGGCTTTTTGAAAGTTCGCCTTTTAAATTTCCTAGGACCTTAAAATATAATGATGTTTACCATGAACAGGAAAATATTTTCTAAGGAAAATAAAAAGCTGAACTTTCGAAAGACCGGTATATCAACCAGAGAGCAAACAGGGAATACGAGGGAACACACTGATGAACCGGACCCCTCGCAGCTTCGTCAAGCAGCTGCAGAATACCAACGAAACACGTGTCTGGACCTTTTATCTAGTACGTGGGCTGTTAGTATGGTGAGCTGCAACATCAACTGATACTACTGGAGTCTGCCTGTTGGCGGCCTGTGTATATTAGGCAGTGGTTGACAGGTTTTAGCCCACATATACACTTAAAGTAGTCGCCGAATACCACGCACCATGCCGATATATGCGAAAGATTGATACTCTTTCGCTAATCGGCATTGACTCAAGTTGTAATCCTGATTATCGTGTAGTCTATTCTGAAGCCATTTCAGGCACGATAGGATGCGGGCTTTTTAACGAGCTTCGTTCTGGCCACTGGCAAACCGTATCTATTGTAAAAGCAGTTTGTCTTTTTTATCATTTATTTTGACTGCCTTTATAAATGCACATATATTGTATGGAAAACATTCACGAAAAACGTATTCCTTGTACTTGTTTGGGAGCAAATTACGTCTTCTTCAAATGTTATACTCAAAGAAAGGGTAGCTTTTGGTTTTGAAAAAATTTGATCAATTACCGAATACTTTTCTAACCTAGTACCTGCTACACTCTTATGCAAGGTTTAAAAACTGGGCACTATGTAAATCCTGTTTAAGGAAAAGTACGTTTTCGCCTACAGTTTGAGGAAGAAGTCACATAGTTGCCATAAAATATTGCAATAGATGTGGAACATGTTTTATGCAGTATAGGCAGCATTAATAGATTGACGGATACGATATATTATGTATAAAAATCTCACAATTGTAGGAAAGGTCATAATTAGCAAATTTTTTTAAAACCGAAAGTTACCCTTTCTTTGAGTATAAAATTTAAATAAGGCGTACAAGGAGAACTTTTTCGTGCACGTTTTCCATAGAATATATTTGAATTTATAAAGGCAGTCAAAATAAATGATAAAAAAGGCACAATACTTAACTAGCCCGTTTTTACATTAGATACGGTTTGCCAATGGTCAGAACGAAGATCGTTATAAAGCCCGCATCCAATCATGACTGAAATGACTACAGAATAGACTACGCGATAATCAGTATCACAACTTGATTCAATACCGATTAACGAAGTAATATCAATCTTTTGCATATGTCGACATGTTGCGTGATCTTTGACGACTACTGTACAATTACAGTCTATGCCCATTAACCGTAAAGTAACCCGATGTACAGGGTGCCCCACAAAAAACCCCTAAGTTTGTGATTGTTACGGCGGC